AAAAAAAAAAAAAAAAACAACCTTCCTTGTTGTTCAGTAATGAAGTTTAAAATCCAAAATCAGCTAAAATTCAGCATCTTCCATGTTTCAGGGGTGTACTTGGTAGCTGTGTTGGTCTGAGACAAAAAGACATGCAAAAAACTAGAACTCTTGGTCTAATGAAAGGTATCATTTTGGAACCAAAAGTTCTAGGTTTTTGTATGTCTTCTTGTCTCAGACCAACACAGCTAGCAAGTACATCCCTGAAAGATGGAAGATGCTGAATTTTAGCCAATTTTGGATTTTAAACTTTTAAACTTCTTTTAAATGTGGAGTTAAACACAAACCATTGTCTTATCTAATATTTAGCTTAGGCTGTACCAGTTTCTAAAAAACTTGTCTAACATCTCAAACACACAGCTGGTTCTGTAAAAAATATCACCAAGAAACCCTTACTGCTGGCATATTTCCTGAACCATCATGGACAAAAACAACACACTGTTTGGAATGAAATTTATTTCTGTTCAAAACATCACTTAAATTCAAAGTAGGTTCTAATTTAAAAAATTAAGTTGAATTCAAGCAGTTTTGCACCATCTCAGAGGAGTTTCACTCTATATGTATTTTTCTGTCATGGTGTTATAACAACTCTTGCCAAGAAAAATCATTGCAAGTCTAGTAACATATTTCCATTCCCATGTAGCCTTGTGCTAAAGGACATACAAATAATTAGTGATGGCTGTAGTGACAGTGACCTCAGGTATGAGTATGACCAAAAAAATCACAAAACTATACTTTCTAAAGTATTGTGGGGGGGTTTCTCACCATCAGTTCTGCTAAGTAAGCAGTAATTTCTTTAAAAACTTTTACTTGTAGCTAGTGGCCAAACTTTTTACAATTTTTCTCCTCATTAACAAAAGAGTCTTCATCAACTGGACAAGATTATAAAGCCCCCTTATATAAGTGGAAAATACTTTCTGGCAGTTAAAAAATCTCATAAACAATGAAGAAAGTGTGCATATTATTGTGCACTTAGGGAAAACAATTTTCTGCTACTGAATATATACAATACCTTAGAAAGTTTTTGTTTTCCATCTTCATAATGAATCTCCACATAATTGGAAGATAACAAATCACTGTAAAGGAAAGGGAAAGGTTTAGATATAAAGTTTTAAACAGCAGCACAAGAAAATGTTAATATATTTACTGCCACCATTTTATCATTTCATTTGAAATTCTTGAACGACTGTTTCTGTCCTAGGGAAAGTGGGGCAGGGTGGCATTGGAGACTAACTGGTTCAGGAAAACCTGACCTTCCATAGGCAACAACCTATTTTGTCATCTGAAAGCTCATGCCTATGAAAGCTCATGTTTCTCAACCAGTTAGTCTCTAAGATGCCACCCCTGCCTTACCTTCCTTCTGGTTTCAGGCTCACACAGCTAACCACTTTCCATTTCTTTCTAGTTAAGAATATTAAAGAAAGCAAAACAGTTGTCTTCAGTAAATGGTTTGCTGTTACACTTTGAGGCAGGGAAGGCTTTAGACTTAAAAGACTAACTCAGTGGATGAATTTAAATTATATTTGTCTTACAATAGTATGATTTAATTTGCATTTTAAGGGACAAAAAATCTAAACTGGTTTATGAGATGTTTGCTTCTACTAGTTCCGTTTAAAAATATGTTTAGCTGATTATTTTTCATATAATAATATTACTGATATACCGCTATCTTTGGATAGAGTGGCGTATAAAGCTAAATAAATGTGCTAACTCTGCAACAGACACATGGGCACAAGCCTGACTTGAACTGTCAAGAGTCTAAACATTCAGAAAGCAAATCAAAGGTTACATATTAACTCTACCTGCCCTTCTTTCTACTTCTCACTTGCTGTGCTCCAGATTGCATCTAAAAACTGAAACTAATAACACGGAAAATTGTTGTCTAATACCATGACCGTGTAAAATTGTTCCCTACCGTTTCACCTCTTTGCATTTTGTTGCCAAGAAACTCCATCTCCCCCTATAAAAATCCCCATTCTGTCTGAGATGAGAAATAAAATATTGCAAAACCTGTCAGTGGCTTAGGCTGCATACACATGCCCAAGTCAACTTGACTTAACTAAGGTGACTTAAGCCATGTCCGAGCATGCATATGTACAGCACCTTTACACGATGGCAGCCATCTTGTCAGCCCTCCCCTGCACTGGCCCCAAAGGGTGTATCCAAACAAGTGTGCATGTGTGTTTCTCTGAGGACAAATAGCAGCGGAACATAGTTTTGCCATTGCTATTTGCCCCGGAGAATGACCCTGCATGCACGCTCTGGCATGTAGCAGATTACCCCAGATGGGGTAGGGGAGGCTGAAGCCAGCACCTGGGCTGGCTCCAGCAACATTATCTGGGATCCTGGGGGCCTCCCAGGGCTGTAGAGGTAGCGACCTGAGCATGTGGAGCCTGGCCGGCATCCAGAGCATGGCTCTGGCCAGCCAGGCTCTGGTTCTGGGTGGCACATGCTGCAGCCACATGCATCACCCTGTTTTCCCGCAATTTTTTTTTTTTTTTTTTTTTTTTTTAGATATTGGGAGTTCCCAGTATCTAATTTTACCTCTGTGTGGAGAACCCTTTCACTTGTGTCACATGTGTTTTGTGGTATCTCAAAAGGTTTGAGGCATCACAAAGTGCACATGTGCACTCGTCTGGACACACCCTTAGAGTTGACTTAACTAATGAGACTCAAGATAATACACCTTGGAGATTTATCATCATCTTGCACCACGTTTAAGTCAACTCCACTCCACATACGTGTGTATGCTCTGACAGTTAAGTCAACTTAAAAAAGTTAAATCAACTTAAACTGTCAGAAAGTTAGTATGCATGTATGCACCTCTACGCACGCAGCAAGGCTGCTCCAATGTGCTGTAATTACAGTGCACCGGAGCATACTCAATTAATCAAGTCTGATGGAGTGTGGTAATTACCACGCTCCCGCAGACTCTAGCATTATGTGCATCAGGTTCCCCGTGCTGGCAAATGGCAGCAGGGGCACTTTAATTAAAGCTCATTTGACGAGCTTTAGTTAAAACACCCCCACCAGCATTTTTCAGTATGGTGACACTGACACACATGATGTTCCAGGCACTTTAATTAGAGCAGATTTCAAAGCCGCTCTAATTAAAGTGCTCCCTGCCCCACCCCAACTCCCAGAGCACGTATTTAAATGTCCTTAATCTCTACATAAGAGGTGTAGTTTCAACCCCAGTCCTGATTTAGAGCTCAGGATAATCTCTGACCACTTTGGCCCAGGTACAGAGAATGTAAACATGTTTATGGCACTATGCAGGTTATATGGTTATATGCTTAGGCAAATACTTAGCTTGATATGGTCCAGAGCACTTAGCATCCTGCAGGATCAAACCCTATGCACCTAAACCATGATCTATATTGCCTATTACCTAATCAATTATTTGATTGTGTAGCATTCTTCCACCTTCTAACACTTACCCAAACCTATACCCCAATAATATCAAACAGCTCAAAACATCAAAAAAGTACTGGGACGATAGGCATTGTGAGAGTCTAAATGACATGTACTGTCCCAATGGAAAATCTTGTAGAAGGTTCACTTGGTGATATAAGGCAGGAGGCTGCTGAGGCCATGAATAAAATAAATAAATATCTTCATTCATTTTGAAGTAATGGTCTAATGAAATATATCAGAAGGCAAATTTACTACTGAAAGCTATTAACAGGTATCTCAATTTTAGACCACTTTAGACTATTAGCAATCCTTTGGACACTTTTTCTGTAGGATTATTAGTTAATAGATTAATTTACTCATGATACATCTGGCAAATATTATATACAATGGATAGTGATTCTCAATCATTCAGGGCCTGGCGTGGTGCAGGCACTAAGGTGGCATGCTCAACAGCCCCGGGGTCACAAGTTTAAGGCCATAGCAGAAGCATTCACAGTGTGGCTGTCAGATTCCAATGAATCTGTAAATTCTGCTAAATACCTTGTCACAAGAACACAAAATAGAAAAGGAAGAGTTAGAGCAGTTGTGTGCAATAGGCACAACAACAGGTAAAACTTCCCTTTGGGAAGAGTAGTAGATATACTAGAGCAGAGGCAGGCAAAATGCAGCCCATGGGCCACATCCTGCCAGCCAGGCTATTCTATCTGGCCCATGGGGCACCTGAAAAATTTACAAAATTAATACATAATAATTAAATAATTTACCTGCTCCAGGTTCCCTGTCAAAGATGACAGGGACCAGGGGCAGTAGGACCCAGGGGAAGCCGGCAGGAGTCAGGAGAAAGGCCAGCCTGGCTCAGCCCCAGCCTAACCCTCTCTACTCAAAAGTGTCTGCCTGCGGCAGCTTTGCCTACACACAGCTGTTCCAGCACCACATGGCTCCCGGCTACATCGCCTAACCGTGGGAGCAGGGGCACAAGTACCCTGGAGCAAGAAGAGGGTGCGTGTGTGTGTGTGTGTAAAATTGTGTACATAGGGTGAATCCCACAAGCACCCCCTAGTATACACATGCACCCAGACACCCCCTTGCTCTGCCATGCATGCGGACCCCCACACCCATACTCCCTCACGCAGCCCAGCCACCCTCCCCATACACATCCCCCACAAATCTCATACCCACCCACGCCCCACATATCCACACACACACACCCTCACCTCACACCTACCCTTCCACACCTATCCACCCCCCCACACACACCCTCCCCCACATACCCATACACCCACAGCCCCCCACAGTTTACAAGACTAAGACTTCATTTTATGCTATTGTGCAATCACTTCTATGAACACTACACAAACATGTAAATTAGGACAAAAAGATTTTTTGAAATCAAATTAATGAATGTTGTAGATGTTTGATTTTTAGAATATAATTTGGTATTTTTCTGGTTCTGGGTTAGCAAAACCCCTTGCGGAAAAGAGTACTTCCGGGGGCAAGGGGAGGGACTTCTGGTGGCAAAGGCTGGTGGTTAGGGAGTGGGACTTCTGGTCCCAAGATGCCAACCAGGGGGCAGGGCACCTGTCAAGGGGCAGACCTACCCATGCAGCCTTCAACAGCTTGCAAAACTCAGTAAGCAGGCCTCTGCCTGAAATAATTGTCCCCCTCTGCACTGGAGGGTAGGGTTAGGATTCAGAGAGACCTAGACAAATTGGAGGACTGAACCAAAATCTTATGACATTCAATAAGGACAAGTGCAAAGTCCTGCACTTAGGACGAAATAATCCCACGCACCAAAACAGGCTGGGGACTGACTGGCTAAGCAGCAACTCTGCAGAAAAGGACCTGGGGGTTACAGTGAACAATACGTCAACAGTGTGCTCCTGTTGCAAAGAAGGCTAACAGCATACTGGGCTGCATTGGTAGGAGTGTTGCCAGCAAATCAAGGGAAGTGATTCTTCCCCTCAATTCAGCACTGGTGAGGCCACATCTGAAGCAGTATCCAGTTTTGGGCCCCCCACTACAGAAAGGACGTGGGCAAATTGGAAAGACTCTAGCAGCGGGCAATGAAAATGGTTAGGGGTTTGAGGCACATGACTTCTGAGGACACACTGAGGGAACTGAGTTTATTTAGTTTGGAGAAGAGAACTGAGGGAGGATTTGATCAGAGTTGTCAACTACCTAAAGGGTGATTACGAAGAGAATGGAGCTACATTGTTCTCAGTGGTGGTGGATGACAAAACAAGGAGCAATGGTCTCAAGTTGCAGCAAAGGAAGTTTAGTTTTTCCTAGTATCTAACCTTTCTCACTAGGAGGGTAGTAAAGCACAGAAACAGGCTACCCAAAGAGGTTGTGGAATCTCCATCCTTGGAGGTTTTTAAGACCCAGCTAAGCAAAACCTTGGCTGAGATGATAGTTGGGGATGGTCCCTTCAGTAGGGGTTTGGACTAGATGACTTCCTGAGGTTCCTTCCAACCCTCATTTTCTATGATTCTCTTAAAAAACCATGTGCTCTTTTATTGTACCCAGATACCACTATGACAACTATTCTGTAGGTACATGAAAATAAGAAATTATAACAATCAAAGTTAATTTTATTCAGTTTTCCAAACAAAATATTCATTAGAGATATTGTTAATGTATAGATTTCAAAATAAAAATA